TCTGTGGTCTTTGTCATGCTTAGTATATACAGATGCTCCTTGACTTCCAAAGGGACTAAGTCCCATTTTAAGTTGGAAATATCATAAGATGAAAATGCATTTAATACACCTAACCTACCAAACATCATAACTTAGTTTAGTCTACCTATAACATGCTCAGAACAAAATATCCAAAAAGCACTGGCAACATAGTACATTGCACAGAGTAAGAGTTATTTACCCTGGTGATCTTGTGCTTAACTGGGAGCTGCAGCTCACTGCTGCTGTCCAGCATAATGAGAGAGTATGGTGGCTAGCCAGGGAAAAGATCAAAATTTGAAGTATGTATAGTTTCCACTGAATGTGTTTTGCTTTTGCCCCATTTTAAAGTCCTAAAATCATTTTAAGTCTAACCATCATAAGTTGGGAATCTCTGTATTGCATTTCCTGTATTAATTCATGCTCTTCATCATTTTGGGAAAATTTTATGCCATTTTCTCTTTAGATATTATGTAATCTCCTCTACCTCTAGTCTCAGTTTCTCACTTTTTTTTTCCTCTCTCTTTCTCTGTCTGGATGGTGCTTCATTCTGAATAAGGAATGCTATCCACTTGAAGAAAATATTTTATCTGGCTGTCTAATTTGATGTTTAACCCATCCATTAAGTTTTATATTTATACTTTTATATTTTCAATGGTTAATTTCTATTCTATTTTTTAATCTGCATACTTTTATAGTCATATCTTCTTTGGTCTTTTTTTAATCCATGATCATTTTTATTCCAAAGTTTATTTCTATTAACAGTTATTAATATGAAATTATGTATTTTCTGTATTTCATAATTCAAAAGTGGCTGAATAACAATAATTATTATCAACTGGAACAACAAAATAAAAAAGTTAAATTTCACCATTAAAAGACAAAAATTTGAAGATTGAGTCAAAAGTTAAATCTATTTACAGTTTAGGGGAGTCAGATCAAAATAAAGTGACATACCACTATAAAAAAAAAGGAAAGAAAGAATCAGAGGAAAAATAGGCTAACATATTATTTAAAGTAAAAAAATCACTAAATTGGAAAGAGGACCATTTTATTTTTATAAAGATGAAAACTCTAAAAGTGTATTGACTTTTATGAACATTTATTTACAGTGAAAAAGTTAACCAGAATACAAAATAAAATTGATTGAAATACAAGAAGATACTAGTAGTAATGGTAATAGTGGGAAACTTAACACACCTCTCTCAGTCTAACAGATCAACTAGGACAAAAATCAGAAAGGATGTAGAGCAGTAATTTTCTACTATACTCTCTGATATGAAGGGATAAGCAGGTAAACTCCAGGTCCCTCATTCCTACTTCAAGTAGACTAGTTTTGCTTTTAACAGTTTGGGTTTTTTTTAATTTTTTATTTTTTTTAGTGTACAAATATTCCATATGAGATGTGATTTGAAAAAAATTAAGTTGCTTTAAACTTATGAAAAATACTAAAATAATATTTGACTTGCCTAATTAACAAAAGCTATGTAAAAGCTAATGTTTAAACTTTTATCATAAATAAAATATACCCTTTTCCAATAGATATGTAACTTTCACAAAAATTGATCCTATGTTTAATTACAAAGATTGATTCAACAAGTTCCAAAAAGCAGAAACTATACAAGTGTATATCTCTACCTATCAAAATATATGGCATGTAGCTACATCTGATAGAAGAGGAAAATACAGTATTATATGCTTTTATTACTAACCATAAATAGTTACTATATTGATCATTCAGCTCAAAAAGTTAGAGTGCAGTATAATATGCTAGTCAAGAAACCAAATGAGTGAATAAAAAAACAGATTAATAAAACAAAAAATAACACTCAAAATGCTCAAAGACACTCAGTAGGCTAAGAGCTTGCTCAAGAGTGCAAACTCTGAGCAACAGCGGTTCGATTCCTGGCCTGAGCTGAGCTGCCACTGAGCTGCCAACAGGTGGCAGGATGGCTCAGCTAAAAAAAAAATGCTCAAAGAGAAATAAAAAAGACAAATCTCTGACAAAACTAATCATTTAAAAATCATGATAGCTAACAATTATTGAGTACTCACTATTCACCATGTGTTTTTGCTAAGTAATTTACAAAACTTTGTTCACTTAATCCTCTAAACAATATTATGCAAATTATCATTTATTTCATAAACATTTATTAAGTACTAACTATATGCCCAGCACTCTATGAGACACTGGACATACTGCTGAACAAAAGAAATGATGCCACTGCCCTCAAGATATTTGCATTCTTAAGGAACAGATAAATATCTCCGTTAAACAAAATTCATAGAATTTAGATCACTTTCCTAAGGATACATAGCATCTTTGTGTCCAAATTGTATAAATTTAAATTGTACTCCTTGAAGACCTATACTCCTAATCAACATGCAGTACTATAAAAAGGAGAAAACAGATTTAAACAGTTACTATTCATATAAATTTAAACAATTACTATTTATATAACTCACTGCTAAAACACAGAAATTATGGATAAAGTGGTTGATTTTCCAGGGAAATATGAATTGCCAAAGTTGACACAAGCATATATTTAAACACAACACAATTAAAGAAAACATGGAAGAAATTTAAAACATTAAAAAAAACAAAAACCAACAACTAACACTATTGGTGGTTGCAGACCCAGGTGGCTTTTTGTGAGTCCTATCAGTATTCTAAGGAACATATAATCTAGTACTTAAGCTATCACAATAGAGGATGGCATGCTTACCAAGCTGTCATCTATCACTGTGATATCTAATCTGTCCAAGCTAGCTTGTAAACAAACCAACCAGTAACTCACTAACAATATGCACACACACAAACAAACAGACCTAATAAGCTACAGATACTCTCATCTTTGAATAGATATGCAAAAATCCTAAATTAAAAAAATTCACCAATCAATATTCATACATATTAAAAGAATGATATGCATTTCAAATGCAAGGTTCAGTCTTCCTGGATGTTAGATATATGTAACCACACAAACAAGCAAAAATGATCAACTCTAATCTAGCAATTTCTGTTCTATGTCTTATTTCTAAGGAATAAGTTAGAAAGGTGGTAAAAAATACACAAGGTATTTATTGTAGCATTGTTTATAATAGAGAATATCCCAATTGTTCCTATAAAGAAAATTAGTGGAAAAATATCCTACCCTTAACAATTATAATTTATGGTATACACAAAGCACTTTATTATTTAAAAGGAAAAAAAAAAAAGCCCAGCAGATTACACAAATAATGAAAAACTTTGCTGAAGAGGAGGCATTTAGGACAGGTCTCAAAGGGTTAGCAGGATTTTAACAGATATGATTAGAAACACACAGAGTTGTCTTTCTGGGTCAGCAGATATGGAAGGAAGTAGTGAGAAATCAAACTGAAAAAGTAGACTCGGTCCAGACCATAAAGTGCATTAAATATAGATAGTAATAAATAAATCAGTGGAACAGGACTGAGAGGCCTGAAACAGATGCAAGTATTTGAGAACCAATTATACAACAAAGACAACATTACAAATACTGTGGGAAAGGACTTTCACTTTTAATCATGCTGAAATAATTAGTTGCATTTCCTATCTCACACCAAAAATATGAATATAGTCCAGATTGATTAAATACTGCAGATAATGTGGACATACATTTGGGCTTACGGATAATTCTATAAACAAAAATTCAGAAATCATAAGGGAAGCTACAGATATGTTTGTTTCTCCCAAAAATGCTTATAAAATTATATTGTAGATGCCATCCTAAACTAACAATACACTGAGGAAGAATTTTTCTGAGGAACAAAGTCTTAATGGTTGTAATACACAAAGAACACTAAGAAATTAAACAATGCAAACAGACACATAGGAAAATGAAAAAAAAATCAAAACAATGTAAACAAACATTTCAGAAAAGCAGATGCAAATAGACAATAAATTACGAAATGATTTTCAACCATCTTAGAGTTCAGAGAAATATTAATTAAAGTGGCAAATGCCATATTTTTACCTTTGAATACTGACAAAAATGAAGCAGATTAATCACATAAAATGGTAGCAAAGATATGGGGAAATAGTCTCATCTATTACTAATAGATGTGGAAACTGCCACTATATTATTGAAAAACAATCTGGCAGTACTTATTAAAATGAAAAATGTACATGCCCTTTGATCCATCAATTCCACTTTTGTTACTGTCTGCTGCAGAAAATAAAAGCAAAGTACATGATATATGTGCAATGTTGTTTATAACAGTACTGTTTCCTAGTGGAAGAACAATCAAACAAATAAAACTGGGACTATGCTGAATGTCTAACTATGGCGGATGGTTTATTAAATTCTGATACATCTATATAATGGGATAATGTTTAGCTATTAACCATAATGCCGTGAGTTGATCTTGGATTTGATCTTTTAATAATAATAATAGTAAATACCAATTATATGAGTTACATTTTTAAATAAAACAAAAATAACTCACTATATATATATATATATATATATATATATATATATATATATGCATCATAATGAGAAGGTGAGAGATTACATGCAAACTATTTGTTGTTGCAGAAAGAAGATATTTACAGGGGTCGGGGAAAAAAGTGTTCTTAATTTACTTAGTTCATGACACTTTTTGTCTGATTCTTTGCAATAAGCACTTATTAGCTTTGTAATTTCACCAGATTACTTTTAGTATTTAAACAATCCTACAAAGTTTTAAAAAATAAACTCTAATGTATTAAAATGTATAAAATATTGCCTTTGAATTGCTTTCCTGAAATATGTAGGAAAAGGAAACTATCTTCCTTATAATCTAACTACTTAGCAGACAATCCACATGGCAAGTGAAGTATATCAACCAGCACATAGCCCTTAATTATGATTATCCTTGATTGCACTCAGCCTGTTAAGTGTTATATTACCAGATAACAGGATCCATGTTCCTAATAATAGCGGAAAATGTACTAACAATGTTTTTGCTTCTTATTGTAGCCCAGTTCCAACAATCACATGGATGAAAGTTAATGGTTATATTCCTGGTAAGGCACGTCTGCGGAAATCTCAGGCAGTGCTGGAAATACCCAACGTGCAGCTGGATGATGCAGGCATATATGAATGCAGAGCTGAAAACTCCCGTGGAAAAAATTCCTTTCGTGGACAATTACAAGTATACAGTAAGTGTTCTCAGCAAAACGTGATGCTCTAGTCCCAACACTCAAACTGAAAATGCAAATTACTTTGAACTAAATATTGTTTCTTAGGCACATAAAAAACAGATTATAATTTATAATCATACTTCTTTGGTATGGTAAAGCAGCATGTAAAATTACACAGAGAAATGTTTTAAGCTAAAACTGAATGGATAATTATCATGTTCTTTGTACAGCACAGAGAGTTGATGTTTGTAAAAATGAGGTCTTTTCCTGGCACCAAAGCCAACCACTGCATAAGTTAAAAAAATCTTGTAACCTTTATTCACTTATCCTTGCCCTTGGCCTAAATCAGGAGTCTCAATCTATTGCCCATGAACCAATTCCTGCTCAGATGTCTTTTTTTTCTCTCTTGTAAACCAAATTTTATTGGAACATAGCTACATTCATTTGTTTACATATCGTCCATTTCAGTTTTTGCACTGCCATGGCAGAATTAAGTAGTTGTGACAGAGACCAGATAACGCAAAGTCTAAAAATATTTGCTATCTGGTCCTTTACAGAAAAACTTTGCTGAGCTCTGGCTTGCATTCATACATTTCTATGATAAATAGCCTCTATAGCCTGCAAGTGTTTATATTGTCCACAAATGCCAAAAAGCCAATCAGGTTGTGTGTAAGAATTGGGAAAACCTACTTCAAAAATATCTACCATCTCTTCTTTACGTCTAAGGATCACAAATTGTATTTACTTTCATATTTGCTTTTATAATATGCACTATACATAATGGGTAAGTGATATTATTCCTATGAGGAGGACACAAACAAGAGAGGAATACAATAATCAAGACCATTGATAAATGCTAAGCCAATACCGATGCTTTCAATAGGAAATTATCCAAATTGCATGTTCAGCTGAATCTGCCAAGCATCAGTGCTTGTTACTGTATCTGCAGACTGGTTATCCTAAAAAGCTTAATGTTCTTCACAGGGACTCTTAAAGAGTATTTTGAAATATTAATATTTGAATTCAATCTGTTTTTCTGTCCTTATCTCTAGCAACACCTTTAGGAATTCAGTACTCCAACCAAATTGAACATTTTATTCATTCATTCACTGACTCAATTAATGTTTATTAACTGCCTATTACTTCTTTATATGTTAGCAACAGAACTTTGAAGAAACTCATGATCCACTGGGTTAGATGAAAATCAAACCCTACAGTAGACTAGAACATGCTATCTGTGATAGAGGCATGTGCAGAGGATTATGGGAGTACAGTCTACTGCATTCTACTGGGGTGATTTAGGGAAAGCTTTCCAGAGGATTTGTACCTTAAAGGCTAAACAGGGGAAAGCATCCTGGAAAAAAAGAGACATAAAATATTTTAGAAGTTTGTAAAATTAAAGCAACAGCACTGGTTTGGTTATTTTTAGGCAATGGATATTATATTTGGATGAAATCATCAAGGCAAACTGTTCATAATTACTTACATCATTAAGTTAACGCTCCAGCCATAGGAAAAACACAAGTGTTACTTCAGTACCCCAGTGAACAATGATTAACATTCAAATGCATTATGTCAGTTTATCCTCAGAGCAGCACTATGAGATATTACTAGTCCCTCTATACAGATAAAAATTTGACACTGAAAGAAAAGTGTTGAACCAGTATTTGGCTACTCAAAACCACACACACACACACACACACACACACACACACACACACACACACACACACAAATACAAATGCAGGGAGTGCCTGTTATTCTTAAGGCTATTTGGGAAAGGACCCAACTCTTTCTGTGCTGTGAAGAATGGCCCACACCTAAATAAGAATTAGATTTACAGTCTGGGACAGAAGCGCCTATAGGGCACTATTCTACTTGCCCCCCTCCCCACCTGGCTCCTTGAGTCATAGGCAGTAGCAATTATGACCAGAAAAAGGAGAAAAATGTTTTCACTCAATATTACTGGTATACCTTCTGGTGAGAGGGTATGCTCCTAGGAAACACCTGTGGGTTCTCCTTGTCATGCACAAGTATATGTCCACTGGAGGCCAGCCGGCTAAGGACAAACCTGCCCAAAGCATGCATCATGTTGGGTAGAAAAGAATTAAGTCTGTTGACTAGAAAAAGAAAGGGGTCCAACTAGCTACGGTAGCATATATTTCTGATAGTTTGGGGAGCTTTCTTAGTGGAAAGTGGCCCTTCACTGTAGCGCATTTTTAGGGTGGTTTCCTGTCCTGTTCCTGATTTGCCCTGGACAGTCCCGGTTTATGTCTATTACACGGTGACAGTTATGTATGAACAGTGCCCTATCTCACTTCCAGAAGCATCTTGATTATTACATATCCCCTCAACTCTTGTACTTTATTTTTTATTTACTTTTATGTATTAAATTTATTGTGATGGCATTGGTTAGTAAAATTATATAGGTTTCAAATGTACAATTCTGTAATACATCATCTATATATTGCATTGTGTGTTCACCACCCAGAGTCAGTTCTCCTTCCATCGCTATATATTTGACCCCCTTAACCCTCTTCTTTTAAAATTGTTGTATTTGATATGATGGCTTTTCTCCTCATCCATCAAGTTCTGTAAAATGCAGAAAAAAATCTTAGCTAACATTTCCACCTGGCTGGCAGTGGATACAGATAGCATACATAATGCAGAAATGTTCCACTATATCCATGGTTTGTAATTATAATCTTCTCCTCTCAGGATGCATTTCTGTTGGAAGCTCTGTAACCTGAGCTTCATGTGTTGGAAGAAGTAGAGGCTGACACTTTTGATCTAAACGGTCAATATTCACAGAGTACTGAAAACACAGAGTTGTTCCCCTAGTTCACTTTCTTTTAGAAAGTATAACTATGGGAATGTTTTACATATTCAGTTGTTAGACCCAAAAGATAAGCCAAGGTTTTAAGGCAACCTTTCTAATCTCATTTTTTTTTTGTCAAATCATTGAAAATGAGTACTAATATAGGTGATAGACATAAATTTAGGCCACATATTTTATTATTTGTAACTCAGAATTTGTATAATTAAACATACAACAAATCATACAACATAAGTGAACATGTTCATGGTAGTTAACTAAAAATTAAAGTAAACTTGCATGTTGAATATAAAAGAAATAAAATTTAAAATACTCATAAAAAGAAAAAGTAAGCTAGCAAAAAAAATTAAAACAAAATTTTGGTAATAATTTGAACCTTAGAATAAATTGCAAACTTAGTCTATTGAATATGCCTTTTGTTGTACTATAGCGTAGTTTTATGGGTGAAATAATTTCTTTGATTATCACTGTCTCTTCTAGTTTCTGCTAATTAATCAAAAAGCCCTTGTTTTAACTACTCACACAAAATTTTTAGTCTTTGTATTTCCAATAAAAGTTGAATTTTGCTTGGCAAAGTTCTCAATCAAAATGAAAAGAAAGAAGGAAAGAATGAGAAAACAAAAGGAAAGGAGAGAAGGAGGAAAAGTGGCAGGCAGGCAGGCAGGCAGGCAGGCAGGAGGCTCACACAATTTTAAGCAGCTTTATATGAATATCAAGAGCTCTCATAATAGGAGGTATTTAGTGTACAGAAAAATCTTAATATATAAAGATGTGTGATCTATGAGTTGAAATATATATCATATACCCCATTAACTAGTAATTTGTCACCCTGCCCTGCAGTGAAAGGGCACTGTCACTGTGATCACTGAATAGCTACAATTTAGAATAGAAATATATCAGTATTAAAATATACCTTCAACCAAGATGCTTAAAAGAAAGTTACATTGCATTGTACTAAATACCCAATAAGGTTTTTATTTTCAGTGCAGTGTAGTGTTATAGTTGGTTTTGGGTTTTTTTGTTTGTTTCTTTGTTTTTTGTAAAATCTCTGGACAGTATCCTCACAAATTTTAATGGCTTCCAGTGTCTGCAATTTGATCACATAGAAGCATTTTCAAGACAAAGACTATTTTTTTGTTTTGTTATCATTCCTATTTTCCAACTCTAAGCATTATGTTCAGCACAATGTGGATACTTTTTATTATAAATCTATGCTTATTATAAAGATTAATGCTTAGATATGTACACCATTCTTCTAGGTACACTGTAAAGAACAGGTGAAAGTCAGGAGACTAAAGAACTAATGAAGGGAACAAATAGTTGTAAGAGCTTATGTTTTAGACTCTATTGCACCACTATGTACTTTATGTAATATTAACCCATAATAACCCTTAGCAGTTAGTATTCCTGCTTCACAGATTGGGAAGCTAAGGCCTAGAAAGGTTAAGGAGCTTATTACTGAAGGTCCAATTAATAAAAAGCAGTAGAACCAGATTCCAACTTAGAGCTAGCAATGATACCAGAAATCAACCCCCAAGTAGGATGCTACCTCTCCGTGAAATATTGAGGACCTGAGCTAAGGCCTGGGATGAGAAAGGGATGGAGAGTAGTTAATTCCTATTTACTCACCTGTTATTATTGTTAGAGAAAACTTTTTGATACATTAAATCATTGTCATTAATTTTCATTCTCTATTTTTATTTTCTTTCAAATTGTGTTTTTCTATATTAGGCATGATTTTTAAAAATGTTTTAGCTGTTGAAACACATTAAAGATTTACCATGGAAAATAATGTAAAATTGTAGATTTCTGATTAATAATTTAATCCATAAAGAAAATGTTTTCAACCCTGTATCTTGGGAGAAAATTTCTCACCTTGAGTTCTCTTCTTATGAAAATGATACCATATATATTCATAGCTGATAGAAAATAAAGTTTGAGTTATTGCATGGGCAATGGATTGAGAGGAGAATGTAACCAATATTTTTTATACTCGATCATCATTGTAGCCCATTGAAATAGGAATTACCATCTACAGCTTACAGATGAGACTCATTAAAGTTAAACAACTCATTCCTGATCACATATTAGAGCAAGGGCATGGTAACACTGGGATTTGAACCTACATTTACCCCCAACTTTGTAATCTTTCCAATATACCTCATTACCTCTCACTGGGCCACAACTGAGAATCCTAATATTGAATATGATCTATGTAGATAAAATATGTTCACTCTTCAGCACATAAGAGTACAGGAGCAATGAAGGAGGCCAATAACAATCAGCATTTATCAACAGATTTTCAGAATTTCTAATGACAAGAAAAAAGCAACAAGATTTCCTTTATGCACATCTGCTTGGTGTTTTAAAAACTGTAACCTGGAGACTGATCTAAAGCTTCAATGTACTACATAAGTAGTTGCAAATATACAATCCATCTGGTGAGAGTGTTAACAGCTTCTGGGTTTAAGATGCCATATGTTTCTTAAATTTTTATACCCTAAAATAGGTGGCCTGACAAAAGCTAGATCAAAGAAATTACTAGCTTAAAAAAAAATCTGGGGGCAGTGTAACAGGCCATTTTTATTTGTGGAATTGTTGGTAGAATGAATTCAAATATTTTCATTATAGTTCTGTCTCATCCATTAAATTTTGAGCTGACAGCAAACAGACATTGTAACGTATTTATCGTCATATTCTCAGTGCTAAGCGTTGTGCCAATAGTGATATCCCATAAATACTTGAAGAAGAGAGGAAAGCAGTAATTATTTCTTTTTAAATTCATTGATCATTTGTTGTTTCCTATGACAAATTATTTTGGAATCAGGACTCTAAAGTAGGCCAATTTTGTAGAGTAATCCAAAATATTTTTGAAGAAATATTATTTTGGTTTCTAGTATTTTTTTTCTGTTCCATATGACACAGTTTTTAATTCAATAGATGTTTTGTCCTGATTTTTCATTTTAGTAACTTTTAAAGAATTTATTTATTTATTTTTTTAACTCCTACGAGTTTCATATCCCAGCACTAGCTGTAGTACATATCAGATACAACTAGCCAATATCCTATAATCAACTATCATATGTGGGTCAGTGCTGTGTCTAAAGTAAATATAGGGCTGGCCGAGTGGCTCAGTCGGTTAAGAGCTCCCTCAAGAGTTTGAGCTCTGAGCAACAGCGGTTTGAGTCCCTGCCCGAACTGAGCAGCCGCTGAGCAGCCGCTGAGCTGCCAACAGGTGGCAGGATGGCTCAGCTTAAAAAAAAAAAAAAAAGTAAATATATATGTCACATCAACTCTGCAACTTAATAATCTCCCTACCTAGCTGGGGTGTCAAACAATAACTAAAAAATTCAATAATAGTTTAAGCCAGCAACAGAAGAGGAATAATAAGCTATTATGTGATTATTTTTCAAGTGAATAAGAATTATAGGTGTCCAGAGAAGGGGCAGATGACTCCCCTTTAAGGTTAGGATTCATAAACCTTACATAATTTAGATTAAATTTTGAATTATAATTAAAAGAGATAGAGAAGTAGAACATTCCATGTGGACTGAACAATCAGAAAAAGATGTGGGGTGTGTTTGGGAGACAGCAAGCCCATCTACCTGGGTTCCAGGGGTCATGTGTAGTTATGAAGTAGTGTAGCAAAGTAGAATAGAAAGGTTTACAGAAAGTCCAAATGCGAAAGCAGAGTTTAATGTTGCTTTTGTTCCTCACCATTTCTATCAGTATGTTGAGCATAAATGACTACAAAGAAACTGATTTGGGAAGCCAGGAATGAAAGTCAGGGTCAATGTATGAAGCTCGCCATGGTAGATTGTTGAATGATAGCTTCTAGGCTTCCAGTTGAATCACAGAGTGTATTATTTAAAGGCTTAAAAATCTTGACTATGCCTCGGTAAGCCTCCTTAAAGACCGGGCTATATTGGCTTGAAGACCAATGAGCTACTAAAAACAAAATTCCCGTTTAGAGACAAGTAGAAGGTAACACACACTACGTATGCAGCAAATGCTTCCAATTCATTTTTTTAATATTTCAAAATGGGGTGGGAGAAATGTATGCTCCCTGGACTGTGAAATATCTGACTTTGAGAGTGGTTTATATGACTTACTGTGTGACCTTGGGTAAATTTCCTTAACCTCTCTGAGCCAAAGTTTCCTGATTCATAAAATGAAATATGTTTTCAGGATCAATGTTACAGGGATTAATTGATAACCGAGTTCAGTGTCTAGGACTAGCATTTAATAAATGAGAGTTCTTTCTCTCCTTGTCTTTCCCATCCCCCCTTCTGAACTGGCTTAGGTTATGAACATCTGTTGTCCCTTTAGACCCACTATTCTAATATCCATGTGCAGCTTCTTTTAGCATATCTTATTTCATTTCTTATGCTATCTTTTCCTGAGGCATTGACTTTACACCTCCCCTACCACAGTATAAACTTAAATATAGAATATACGTGTCCTATATCCCCAATAGCCTCTAAGGGTGAGCAAGGACTAAGAAATATGAGGTGAATGAAGCAGTGACTAAAGTCCTCATGAGCACAAAGTAAAATATTTTATAGGTTTATGGCAAAAAAAATTGGTTAGAAATAATCAATTTCATTTTTTTTTCATATTTATTTCTTCAATTGTTTCAAACAGAACATTTGTGGACAAAGAATCATTTGTTTTCAGTATTTTTACTTTAAAAATCAGCCAATGAAGGAAAGACACTTTAACCTGTATCTTGTAGATTTGGTACAATTACATTATATCTCTTCTTTTTTTTAAGTTATAAAGTTTATTTTTAACAACTTTCCAATATATTACTTAAAATTTGATTACATCAAATAAAATGCATCTGTACACACCCACTATAAGAGAACTAACTACGTGATATACACAATGATGCAGAGATCATGCAGTAGTTTCATACCAGAACTCAAGATATTAAGTAGCAAGGCAGTCCAGTGGAATTAAGCTGAGGTGAAGTACAGAAGTCCATAAAGTAAACACAG